AGTTTGTAAAATCAACGCTCTCTAAGAGAGACTACAAAAATAACAATTATTATTGCTGTAATTCTGTTGTAGATATAATTTACAAATCTCAACATCGGCCTTCAGTGCGCACCGACGCCCTCCCTTTAAAACTAATGCGCGGATTACTGGCATTATAAATGCCATATATGTGATCATGGACCTATTAATAGGTCCATGATGTGATCAAGACCCTAATACAAACATTTCCCTGAATTATAGGCCTAACTTATCAATCCTTCAATCTTCAACAAAACGATAAGATAAACGCAAGTCCGGTGTAATGGACGGCTTTCTGTTGGAGCGGTTGGTACAGTGGTTGTGTTCCAAGGCTATCAACTTTCAGGTTTGTTGGCAAAGTCCTCAGAGAACGGAGAAGGTTGCAGCAATTCCTTCGGATACTTACATTAAGACACCACAGGATGTATAATGTTGGTTTTAGAATGTCATCCTTTGCATGCATTTTTGGTGTGTGGGGGAAGGGGCGGGGTCGTCTTCCTTTCAGTGGCGTATCTAGAAGACTTGAATTGGGGGACTGATGGGGGGTGCGAAAGTGAATTGAGGGCTCGATAATCAGTTGAGGGGCGCTAATTCGCAAAATATGGTGATTTTAGGTGATATTTAACTACTTAACCGTGATTTTTGGTGAAAGGGGGTGGGGGAAGACTGCTTCCTTTGTTTTACATTCTTACCTTTAGGACTACTCTTTTCTTTTTTTTTATTCTATGTTTCTGAAGTTTTTTAGAAAGAATGTCACCTTTTGTCTTTTTGTAACCTTTGAGATTTTTCCCCCTTTTTTTTTGTCTGAAAATATAACAAATTATGGATTAAACGAAGGGGTAACAACTTTGGAGATTTCAAGGCAATGACGGGAGTAAAAATAATAAGAAAAAAAAACTCTTATTTTTTTTCTTAACTTTTAAGGATTTTTGTAGATGTGGTAGTTGGCCAAAAATAAAATGTTATTTTTATTCTAAATAAAAATATTATTGGTGGGCGGCGGGTTCAACAAAAAAGATATAAAAAACGTCTCGCCTTATTTATACGTTTGTTTCTCTGTCCAGCAGTATAGATGTTCCCTACCTCGTCATAACATCAAAAGACAGGGGTTCCCTGCCCCTCTCCTGCTGGCGCCACCACTGCTTCGTTGTGGGGGTAGGTCCTATTATAAATTTTTTAAAAAAAACATGACGGTCTACACCGTTTAAAGTGTATATATGTCACCTCCAAAGAAAAACTGCGTTTGGAGTCAATGACCTGTGCCTATCTCAATTCAAAGCTTTTTTTAACTACCAAATGATATTATAATAATAGCCTAATATCAACATACATTATTATAGGCCTAATTAGCCTTTATCTAATCAATGTTTTTTGGTTGATAGATTATTTATACCAGCGAAAGACTATATACAGCTTTGTGTTTACATACGTCTACACTTTCATTGGGACTAACTGTATAGAGATAAAAATAATTTTTATCATCTTGTTTTAACTACCATAAAATGTAACGCGTAATTAACACCATTAAATTGGATAAGACAGCATCTACTGTATGTTGGACGAAGCAGTTATCTTGCCAAACACAGGTGTATGGTTACTAGATGAATGGTGACAGTGAATGTAATAAACAACAGGCCCGTAGCCAGGTTTTTCCAAGGGGGGTTTTCTGGGCGTGAGGTCCACAGTCGAAGCCCCGGTGGGGTCGGCGTAACATCCAAAGCAAGAGAATTTTTGTGCTTTATGGGTCTGGGTCTAAATAATGCTATAAAAGCATTATGTTTGAAAATGTCTGTGTCTGGGTGGGTCTGCAGTGCGTTAGTTGGGTTGGAGGACTTATTTGGGAAATTTAAAGAGGGGGTTCGCCAGAAAAAAAGGGGGTTTGCTAGAAAAGGGGGGTTCTCCCGAACTATAAAAATCCCCCCTGGATACGGGCCTGAACAACGTTTGCGGTATACCGTATTTAATTTTTGCGTTTGTCTTGCTTTCTTTTAGGAATCATCAGGAGAAAAGGTGATATCTTCTAATACTGATTCCTGAAATAGTCATTTTTAATAATTATATCACTATATTTGTATTATTATTATGACTATTTCGAAATAAATGTTACTATTATTATTATCACTATAAAAGGGTTAGGAAAATGTGCATGTTCCGCAAACATGTAATTTTAAACTGGCAAATGTTTACGCAATTGTTTGGTGAGAACTTAGCAATAGGCTAATATTCAAGCCAAATGTCCATTTGCCATTCGTAACTAGTAGCTAAAAAAATTCAAAACCGACTCCAAATTCTAAAATCTAAAAAGTTGACCTCTTTAATTATGGCACCCGTTCATCAATTCCTGATGCTGGGAGACAGCATACATTTTTTCTGGAGTACACTTAGTCTCTAGGTGTACACTTTCCTTGGTGACTGATCAGTCCACTCTTCGATCAGCATATGCGTTCACATTTTGAGCAATTAAACAATGAACCTGGCTTCCAGTTTGAGAGTGAGTTTATTGCAGTGCAGGTCCTCCACTGCTGGTTCTGTATTAGGCTAATGTTAATTGGTAAATCTGGTATTTTAGATAGAAAGACATCAGCTACAGCTTCATTTGAGTAAAAGTTGTTGTTGTGCTCTACTGATTTTTGTTGTTGCCATAATTTGAATAATTCGAATGAAAATAATACTCAACGAAAATTCATACCCAACGAAATGAACCAGTCGAATAAGCCCAATAACATGAAGAAGTCAACTCGCACAGTATCTTTGACATAAGTTCTGTTTGAATTAGTTTCACGTGCTTCGTCGGTAACTCGACGTTTCATTCAATACCGTACCACCGTGCTTATCACAGGTTTAAGTACTTACTTTGATAACAATGATAAATAGGCCTAAGTGGATAATTGTTTTAATTATCACTAAATTCTCTTTTTTTCGCGGTATCGCTACGATATGAACCTAATGACTTTCGATA